CCTCCGGGCTGGGCTTGGGCTCCTGGTCTTTCTTGTCCAGCTCCCCGCTGCCGCCATTCTTGCAGTCAGAGTGGTGCGGGGAGCCGCCCCGGGAGCCACCAGGCGAGGAGGAAGACGAAGATGCGGAGACGGGCGCTCCATGCGGGGGAAAGGGCGTGCAGGCGGCGCTGGGGACCCTGAAGCCTGCCTTGTCTCCCGGGGACAACGAGGAGGAAGAGGAGGTGGAGGACACAGAGGAGGAGCCGCTGTCTTTACGGGAGTCGCCGCTGGAGCCCTTGGAGTAGGGCTTGAAGCTGGACTTGTCCTCGACGGGGGAGTCCCCCAGCTGCTTGAGCACCGCAGACGCGGAGGCAGCGCCCGAGGTGGAGCGGCCGGGGTCCTTCTCCGCTCCCAGCCCGTTGGCTGCCGCCGCCACCGAGTTGAGCTTGGACGAGGGCGGCGGGTCCGGCTTGCCGATCTGCGAACAAGTCTGGGCCAGCAGCGCCAACGGGCTCTTCTTGGCGTCCAGCTGTGGGAGACAGCGGCGAGAGCGGGGAGAGGGAGTGAGACGACCAGACCGACAGAGCCAGCCGGGTAGGTGGGGGTGCCTGGGGAGCCGGGTGGGCGCGGGAGAGAGAAGGCCTGGGGGAGAAGTCTGAGCGCGCCTTTGGGCGGCGCAGCTGGGCAGGACTGCGCTCTCTCTGCTCGTCGCCCGTTGGTGGATCCCTGGCCCCGCTGGGTCCCAGAGCGCACCACAGGCCCCGGGGAACGGGGCAGTGGAAGTGGCCCACCAACGGCCCCCGCGGGCGAGGTGACGCCTCTGGAGTCGGGGCTGTGACCTGCACCCTCCCTTCTCATCTCCCTCTCCTCTAAGCCCAGGGAAAACTTACTCCTTCAGTTTGGGGAACTTCGCTTGGGACGGGTTTCCGGGCGGAGGCGCGGCGCGGTAAAAACCCGGAGAAGCGCCTCCTAAAGCCTGGGCTGCCGTGGGCGCGCTTAGCAGTCCCTCTCTCCCGGGAGCGCACCCAGGGAAGGGGGAGGAAGAAAGCCCCGGGATCGGGAGTGCCGGGGCGTCGTGCGCTCTAACCGGAGGGGACAGAGGCGGAGTGGGACAGGCGCGATCCGGGATTCAGAGAGAACAGGGTGGTGGTGGCGGCGGCGGTGTGGGGGCAGGAAAGATCATCTCTGGCCTAGAAACTGGGTGCCAGAAAAAGTAAAGGACCTAGTGGGAGACGCCAAGAGCAAACCCAATCCGAGAGAAAACCCGTAGCTCCGAAGGGCGCGCGTGGAAGGGGAATCTTTCACGGAGAAGCCTGGGAGAACCGCGTGGGCTCTGATTACCTCCGTTCTCGGTCCCCCCTCACCCGGTCCGCCAGTGTGGCCGGCCCGGAACCGTCGCGCCGAGGACGGGGTGCAGGGAGTGGTGCCGTGGGCCCAGCAGTGGTGGGCGCAATGGGAACGGCGCAGGGCGGGCAGAGACCAAGACACTGACCTCTATGGGGCTGACGGGAGTGGAAGACAGCGGCTGCAGGTACTCCGGGTGCAGGAGGTGGCCGGTGTGAGCGCTCAGCATCTTCAGGACCCTGATAGGGAGCCGGTTCGCTTGGCGCAGGGGGTCCGCTGGGGGCAAGAGGGACACCCCCCCCGGCACC